ATCCATCCATCCATCCATCCATCCATCCATCCATCCATCCATCCATCCATCCATCTATCTATCTATCTATCCATCTATCTATCTATCTATCCAGCCCTATCTTGTCACTTCTGGTTCCCCCCAAAAAATGTTGACCGCCAAAATTCCCGAACTCGAGACATAAAATCTGTAGTCCACCAACCAATATATGGTCCCCGTGCTCAAAGCCAGATCCATAAAGAAATAGTTCTCCTATTTTGGTGAGGAAGACTTGACAGGTCTGCCCCCAACCCCATAAAACCACCTTTAGGAGCCAGACCTGATCCACAAACACCACTGTGTGAGCTCACTAATGCTCTTGTGTCTGAGGAGGGAGGGTCAGCGTATAACAGCTGGTGGAAAGACTGAAACCAGAAGACTGGAGGCTGATATAGAAGATTAATGCCTTTTGCTTCTTGAATGACACTTTCAATTATCACATGTGTCTGTGGTGATTTTCTCTTGTCTAAGTGCGAACATCCGAAGCTATTACACTTCTAAATCTCAAAGCATTCATCTGTTAACTTTGCTCATTGCTGAATAACTGGTTTCAGATCCCCGCCTCCCTTTCACTAAAGAAACAATCGCTGTCTTGTTCGTCTTCTATCAACGGGCTTAACGAGCTGGACTTTTGGCAGCCATTTTGGACAGTACACGTCCTTGAGGGGGAAACAAAGGGCGGGTTTGGGGAGTCCACTGGCGTCCGTTTTCCCTGGTGAAGTGGCCCTTTACACAGGTCTGAACTACCAGAGGAAGACTGGAGAGGAAGAAGAACAGCAACAGCTGTTGCAAACTGTCACTCCTGTTGCTGCTTTTTCACAGGAAGAACTGTTCTTTATCATTTTGCAGACAACTGGAAACACAAAGGATGATGATTTCTATGGTGGTCGAAGCCTTTATGTTCAACTGAGGTTTCTTGGAGGACTTGACGATATGCTGACACTTTTTATATCAAAGTATTTGAAGGTAACACCAAACTGTTACTGTTAAAGCTCCAGAATCAGCACCCTGGACAGCGGTCGTGACCCAAACATTTATTTTTTTATATTTAAAGGACTAATTTGCATATTGGCTGTGAGCAAAAACCATGAATGTCTTTTACTTGTTGTTCTCCTCAGACATCTATTCTTTCCAAGGTGAAAAAGCATGAAGATCAATTCTCCATTAAAACTCATGCTAATGATTTATTTCACGCTGACTGAAGAAGGTTTTTACTGCACAGCCTGATGCCTCCGAAAACGAGTAAAGACAGATTCCTCACCTCCATCATTCTGACTGCAGGCGACGTCGACATGCTGGTATCTCGTTTACAGCTAAAAAAAACAAACTGAACTCAACTATCCATGAACGGATGTACTCCACTATAAACAGTGCTCTAATTAAAACCCCCGAGATGGTTGTGTGAGTGTCGATTCCAATCAATCCTCTTCTGTCAATCACAGAGCACATGTTGGCCCGAGGCCTTTTATCAACACTATGTACACTATGATGAGGAGAAATCGAGCAAGGGATCACGTCTTTAACTGGGCGTTCTAAGTGAAAAAGTGAAACAGCAGGAGCCGCTTGTGCCATTTTGCTTCTTTGAGTCAAAATATAGGACGGTGTGAACTCAGCCTCCCTCTTTAAGTCCTTCAAACAGCTTCTCTAAAAGCTCGGCGTTGAGATATTTGCTCACATCCAAAAAGCTGTTGATATCCAAGTCCTTCATGACGTTTAAAAGTAGGAGTGTTTCTCCTTCCTTTCTTCTGGACATGCATCTCTACTCCAGCTTTGTACATTTTTCGGTGTGTCGCAAACTGCTGTAAATCCCATATTAAGGAATTCATATTCTGAATGTGCCGTGTACATGTCCAGAGAATTCTCCTAAAACAGAATAATAACCACATTTCCCACATGCTTCAATCGGAAAATGCTCCGAGGTCTAACTTAAGAGTATCCAAACGGAAGATGTTCACATGAGCCATATAAAGCTCAGAATATTGTTATATACGTAGTCTCTGTCAGTTATTTAAATATAAAGGTAATGTCTCCTCTTTATCCACATTCACATGCACCCTGCTGTCGTCCTCCCCTCTTCCCATTGAGTTTGAGACATCTTTCCTCCTCCTCCCCCTCTTCTCTGTGACTCTGTCCTCTCGTCTGTCACTCAGGCTCAGGCTTATGAAGTCATCCGGTCCACAGAGAGCCTAACAGCTTCCCTCATCCCACCGCCTCTCTGCTTCTCACTCTCTTTTTCTGTTGTTATATTTCAGAGTGTAACTCTCTGTTTCCTCACAGCACGACAGCCAGTGGAGTCCCTCGCCCTGTTCGCTGTGTGTCTGCTCCAGAGGGAGTGTGTCCTGCAGCGCTCGGCCCTGCCCCCCCCTCAGCTGTCCCGGGGACCAGAGCCCGTTCGTCCCGGCTGGAGAGTGCTGCCCCAAGTGTGGCCGCAAGGGAGGTGAGGGCGTACGTCAGTGCCCATGTGCACATATACAGATTTCAGATGCTGCCTCTGTCTCTCATGGATTTCTTTTCAATCAACTACAAACCGGGGCTGCTTTGAGTCTCAGCCGTGAAAGAGCGTTTGAGAGTTGCACGCGTACCAAAGCAGAAATCTTCAGAGGAACAAAACAAACACATGTTCCTCCTCACAACAGCCTGCTTGTTGTCTCTCAAACAGCATTTGTTTGTCAATTGGAAAGCAAAAAGGCTTCCATCCCCCTGCTTTCATGCCGACTGCTGCTCTGTTAATTACATCATCTCGTTGCAGCCTCTTATTTTGAAATGATTTAATGACACCCCGACAGGAGGCTGTTTATCTCAATCAACCAACTCCACAGTATTTGCGTGACGGTTGTGGATGGGAAATCTCACATTAATTTGCATTTAGAATTTTGGTTTTAAAATGTGTGCAGTGTTTGGATGGAAACCAGGCAGCAGTGTGTGAGTGCAGATAACTCAGACGTCTGCGGAGGCGTGTCAGTGCCGGTGGAGGTGAAAAGGAATACATTACAGAGCTGGGAAATTCAAATAAAAATGTTACCGCTATGTCAATTGTTGTTGTCCCAAAGGTCCTGAAAGATACATATATACGCCTTTTCATTCAATTCAATTTGTTTTTTGTATTTTTCGTGCTCTTGCTGTGATATTTCATGAACATAATGCTGACGGTGTTCATTGTACTTAATCCTCACGTTGTACCTGTTGCACGTTTTATTTTGCTCATGAGTTAGCAGATAAAGCCATAATGACGTGGTATCTGATGTCCTCTCTGACGGAGAGGTTTATTACATATCCAAGTTTTCTCTTTTACGTTCTCTTATGAACATAAATAAATACTTCTGTCATTTTTTATACATTTTGTGCTCAATGGCTGACTTCACCGCAGTGTTTAACGGTGTGATGAGGTTGATCCGTGACATCATCCTCATTCATTCGTGACTTTTAATCTCAGAGAATATCCAAGTTTCAGTTTCATAACTTCTGAGTTTCTTTCTTGGAATATTACCTCCTTCCCCAGCTGCATCATTTTATAAATGTCTTTCTTTTTACGTACTCACAGTTTCTCTTATACGCCATTGTAGATGTTGAAGCTTCCTATAATGCAACACATTGCCTTCCTATGGTCGTACCAACAGCTTAAATGGTTGAATGCATTTATTTGAAGTCTCTTTGGATAACAGCCTCAGCTAAATAAATGCAGCTTAATGTCAACGTTCAGTCTCTAAAAAACAGATTGACTTAACTTGACTTGATGATTTTAATTAAATGGTCGTTGCTGGTAAAGTGTCTCCGCTCACAGGAAGCCTCACAGAACAACCCGTAGTGTTTGTCAGTGACTTCCTGCTTCACCATCGTATGAACAACGCCACACATTCAGACGCAGCAGCTTCACTTCAGGCTCTACTGCGGCTGGAGTTCTCACACGCTTACGTGCTTACTGCTGGCTAAAGAAAGGCGTGCAAGTCAAATAAAAAATCTTACAAACACACGATTTGGTGTAAAATGCAATAAAGCCCAAACACCAGAGGCAAGAAACGACACACAATACAGAAGGGCTTTCCCTGTAGACACACTCACACACTCACATGAGTCTAAGTGTGTTTGTGTCTCCTACAGAGCAGCACACTGTCTCAGGTCAGCTCACCTCCTCCTCTTTAAAGAAACATGAGCTCTGCTCTCACTTCAGCTTCTTCTACCTAAGATGAGTGTTACTCCTTCTGTCGGCGAGGCCTGGACCGTTTTCATCCAACCACTCGAGTGTTTAGTTTCTTCAACCACAGCATTGGTGCACTGTGGGACTAAATTACTTTTTTGTTTGTGTTTGGATATATTATTTTCCAAAACATTACCAGGAGAATTCATGTGATTTATCATTTTTCTTCCGACAATAGCTGCTTTTAAACAACCACGTTTTATTTGATTTAGTCCCAGAGATTTTATTCTGGAGTCCAAATGTGTTAGGTGCATCCATCCACACAAAACTGCAATCAAAATGTAAATGTTCGCAATGGAAACCTTAAAGGAGGACCTCACCCACAAAGTGACCGTCTGCGTATCAGTTACTCACCTCGTGTCGCCTTGAATTCATGATGAAAGCTTTGTTTTTCACTCACGCCTCCACGGGGAACGGAGAATCAGAAAACAGACAGTCTTGATGAGTTGAAGTCATTGGGCGCCGTGTTTACCAACAGTAAAGCTACTGCACATCCACACATCTCTTTACAGTCTTTCACACAGTTCCTGCTGTAATAAAGTCTCATTTATCACTATTTCCCACACTTGCTTCTTCACTGAAATCATACTATTTAAAACACGGTCACAGCTGATAACGCCGCCACGACACACAGCGTAAGCACTGTCAGCCCTTTTAGCACCGTTAGCCACCGGCGACATGTTGAGAGCCGTTGAGAGGCAATTGAAATGCTCCCAATCCCTATGATTTTAGCTGAGATGCATGTGTTTGGTGAAGTAAATGGTTAAATGAGACTTGGATTATACTGCACGAGCTGTGTGAGAGAGAGTCAAGGTATCCGGGTCAGTCATTGATGTACAAACGGTCATTTTGTGTGTGAAGTATTCCCTGAATAAAGGAGATAAAGGCTTTTCATGCGGTAGGGCTACCGTGGTGAGTAACATGGTGCATTATTTGTTTGTGTTTGGGTGTGAATGTTACTAAGTATGTGTTATAGCTGGGGACTTCTCATCCCATTCAAAATAAAATCATCTGCAGTATGATTTTTCCAAATTACAGTCACTTCCAGTTCAGTTTAATACATTTTCTTTAGGAGACAAACCCTTTGACACCCTGATGTTATCTCTTCATTTATTCCTGTGAACTCCTGACATGAAGCCGTGTCTCCGGTGGAAGTGTTTAGTGTATTTGTCCCGGTCCATGCACACTCTTGGATCCCGTGATGCATGGAGTGCGTGGCGTCTCGTTGTTGTGACAGACACAGAGCTGTTAGAGTGCACAGAGCAGTCGGAGCCGAGCTGTTACCGACTCTAATGACGTCTCCGAGCTGCGATGATGCGTCCCAACGGTTAGCAGCTAATTAGCGACTTCCTTTCCCCCTCACTGTAAATCACTGAGTTTGAGGGCAAACAGTGCAGCTCATTACCTGACTCTCATTTTCTCTGTTTACTCAGTCTGTGTTTATCTGTGTGTGTGTGTGTGTGTGTGTGTGTCAGGGTCTTGCACCTGGCAGGTGACGGCCTACAGAGACGGTGAAGAGTGGGCGCCGAGCCTCTGCTCCAGATGTGTCTGCAGTGACGGGGAGGTCCAGTGTTCGGTGGCAGAGTGTCAGCAAGTGGCCTGCAAACCGGTGAGTTTACGTAGATCAATAAAAACACACTTCTTCTATGGTGTTCATGCTCTGCGCCTGTCCTCCTCAGTTCAACTTCAATGCACATATTGGCATTAATGTTGATGGAACAGTCTGACACTTGATGTACACAATAGAATGTGATGTGAATGGAAGCCATCTATGTAGAAGAACGGGACAAACATTCCACTGCATCTGAGCGGCTCTAATGCTGGACTGCTCAAAGCAACATTTAAATAATAACCTCCTCACATTTCTATAATATTCACGTCATTAATGAAGAGTATATTATACTAAATGCCTGGAGGGTCAGCCAGAGGTTGCCGTAACCGAATATTTTCCATCATTGACGGAACTTCTTTTGACAATGACGGAAAAAAACTGGAGGCCGTCTGTCGTTTTGATGGACTGGAGGCCACTGCGGGTCACAGCACAGTGCCGGTGCAGGCTGTGGGGTTTCTTAATGTTTAAGCGAGTGCTTGCAGGATCGTGAAATCCCACGTTAACAGAGTCCGGTAATCTGTGTATTAATGATACAAAAACACAGACACACACACGTGCTGTGTGTGCTAGCAGACCCGAGGAGATGTTCTCTGAATTTGACATAAAGTGTGTTGGATTAGAATCGAAGACTCCGCCTTTAAATACATTTTTACCCTCTGTCATATTGTAATAAAAATGGTAGAGTGTCGGGTAATAATAGATTATGACGTGATTTTTACAATCCTGTCCGTCAAAATGAAAGAAAGAATGTTTCACGCAACCAGTGCGTTTAGCCTAGCTTAGCACAAAGACTGTAAGCAAAGGCAAACTGCTAGCCACTAATTCTATTCCTCCGACAGAAGAAGAAAGTGTTTTATTATTGCAGCTGATCTCTGTGTTCATTCTTCTTTCCTGTCCTTCAGCATGAGAACTTGGTGATCCAGCCGGGCCGCTGCTGTCCTCAGTGTGTGTCCAACCCCTGTCTGTCTGCTGGTAAACAGCACCAGGTAGGTCAGCTCACCTGTGTGTGTGTGTGTGTGTGTGTGTGTGAAGGCAGCTCATGTGACCCGGCACATTTGATTCTGTGTTTTCTGTTTCTATCTATTAGAATATTATTACAGGGAGACTTTGTGTGTGTGTGTGTGTGTGTGTGTGTGTGTGTGTGTGTGTGTGTGTGTGTGTG